CAATTCATGACCGAGTACAATGATCTCGGACACATGCAGCCCGTACTGAAGTCCACACAACCACACCCATTTTGTTACATACCTCATCATGGAGTTTATAAGGAATCGAGCTCCACTACAAAGCTGCGTGTAGTATTCAACGCGTCACGAAAATATAGCTCTGGTGTGTCGTTAAATGACTGTTTGCACACTGGGCCAAAACTACAAAGCGATTTAGCTTCGCTTCTCCTCAAGTGGCGTCTACACCGCGTAGCTTTTATGGCCGATATTGAAAAGTGTTTTCGGCAAATCATCGTCAGCGACGAGGATGCCGACATGCAGCGCATATTTTGGCGCAACACAGAGGGCGAACCACAAATATTTCGCCTGCGCACCGTTACGTATGGACTCAATTGTTCACCATACCTTACGATCAAAGTGTTGCTTACTCTCGCAAAGGAAGAAGAAGCAAGGTTTCCGCACGCATCGAAAATATTACGTGAATCATTTTATATGGATGATTGCCTGCATGGTGCTGACAACGTGGCAGAAGCGGTAAGTCTAAGGAATGAGCTACAGGAACTAGTGCAGTGCGGGGGTTTTACCCTGCGGAAGTGGAATTCTAATTCTCTAGACTTTTTGCACGAAATCAACTCTGATATTTGCACATCGGCTAGTGCTTGCTGTAACTTAACGCTAGACAAGGAAACCAAGGCCTTAGGCATATTTTGGTCTTGCGCTTCTGACACCATCGGTTACAAGATAGCGTTAACATCCTACACAGAACCCATCACTAAACGCCAGCAACTATCTGACGTCGCCAAAACGTACGACCCCATAGGGCTTTTAGCACCAGTCATTATTGTCGGCAAAATCATCTTTCAAGAACTGTGGGTCCTTGGTTGCGCGTGGGATGATCCCATTCCAAGTCCGCATCAACAAACGTGGAGAAAGTTTCGCGACGAGCTCCCATATCTCGAATCAATAAAAATCGATCGATGGGTTTACACATCTTCCAAATCGGTCAATTACCAATTACATGTATTTTCGGATGCGTCGAAGTCAGCGTATGCGGCTGTGTGCTACATTCGTGTTGTTAAGCCCGAAGGAAGCATACACGTAGCAGTTTTGATGGCTAAAACTAAGGTAGCCCCACTAAAAAAGATCCCCATACCACGCCTTGAGTTGAATGCTACGCTATTGGCTGCCAAATTCGCTCTTAAGGTGAGGGACGCGCTTAAAATTGACAACATGAAAATAAATTGTTGGTCAGACTCAAAAACGGCATTGAGTTGGATTCGGTCTAACCCCGGCCAACATAGACAGTATATTGCGAATCGGGTGGTTCAAATTCAGGACAGAACACCGGCACACACGTGGAAATATGTGCAGACAACATGTAATCCGGCGGATGTCGCTACAAGAGGAGTTCTGCCATCCGAAATCGCCAACAAGGAAAAATGGTGGTCCGGCCCTGCTTGGCTCAGTCAACATGAAAGGAACTGGCCAGATCAACCTACCTTGCCTGCTACACCGGATACCATCGTCATTGCTGCATTGGCCACCACCGACATTGAGCCAATACGCGAGCAGTTACTACAAAAATATTCAAATATCAACAAACTCGTCGCGGTGACAGCATGGTGTCGCAGATTTCTAGCAGCAAAGCTCAACTTATCACATCCCACAGAGACATGGTGCACTGCGTCGTAGCGGACGTCTGCTCTAAATTTATGGATCAGGTACGTACAAACTTTGCATTTTTTTAACGAAATCTCTCGTCTTCGTCAAGGGAAACCTGTTTCAATCAAGAGCAAATTGCGAAAACTGAATCCAACCATCGACAACAACGGGATCCTTCGAGTCAATGGCCGCCTGAAGCATGCCTTCCTATCTGAAGCGGAACGCTTTCCGATTATTATGCCAAAGGACAGCAAATTGACTACGCTGCTTATTGCGGTGGCGTTCAAACTACACTAAATCTTATGCGGCGATGTTTCTGGCCTATCGACGGACGATCGTCTACAAAGAAGTATATTAACCGCTGCATCAAATGCTTCCGTCATCGCTGCCAACCCGCACAGCAAATTATGGGTGCTTTGCCAGAAGCGCGATGTACACCGACTAAGCCATTTACACACTGCGGTATAGATTACGGCGGCCCATATAGAGTACGTACATCAAAAGGCAGAGGCCACCAAGCCCATAAAGCATATGTAGCGTTATTCGTGTGCTTCAGTACACGGGCTATACACATCGAGCTCGTTAGCGACCTAACGACGAATATGTTTTTGCTAGCGCTCCGCCGGTTCTTCGCCACACGGGGTTACTCGTCTGATATCTACAGCGACTGTGCCACTACGTTTGTTGGAGCAAATGCCGTACTGAAAGAAGATGTCGCTCAATACCGGACGCAGGTACAGGCGGGCGCGCGTTATAGTGCCGTTCGCGGTGTCACATGGCACTTCATCCCCCCTGGCTCTCCAAATTTCGGAGGCTTATGGGAAGCGGGGATAAAAAGCATGAAACATCACCTCAAGCGCGTTATCGGCGAGACGACACTTACATTTGAGGAGTTCTGCACAGTGCTCAAGGAAGTCGAGGCAGTGCTAAACTCGCGACCACTCGCAGCTTTTTCTGATGACCCCGACGATGTGACAGCGATAACACCAGCTCACATTTTGTCCGGTGGCCCCCCTAATAGCACCTCCCGAGCCAAGCTTATGCGACGTTAAATCTTCAAGCCTCACCCGCTGGAGGCAACTGCAATAAATGCGTCAAAACTTTTGGCAGCGATGGAGCAGCGACTATCTGAGGGAGCCCCAGGCCCGAAATAAGTGGCAGCAGACTCAAGGCAATTTGAGAATTGGTGACCTGGTACTCCTACGTGACGAACGAGCACCACCCTCTCAATGGCAACTAGGTCGAGTTATTCAAGTACACCCCGGGGACGATTCTCATGTACGAGTTGCAATAAAGTCGACAATTCTTAAACGAGCCATATCAAAACTTGTGCCCTTACCAATCGATGAACAGTACCGGCTGCAAACGGTGAGCGGATAATCCTTTTTCGTCGCACTGGACGAGGTGGGCGGAATGTTCACAATCAGCTACCGGTTACTTCTCAGTATTCATTAAAATGGCATTACTTTCCAACACTGAGTTCTCTCACTGAAACTTATCTGTCACTTTTGTATTTTGACATTGCTTTCTTCTTCTGTTTCCGGTCTCCCCATTGTTCTTTTTTCTCTCTGTAATCAAGCACGTTTTATAACTTTCTGATTTTCC